CTAATACCATGGAAACCGATGTCCTTTACTGGCTTTTGCATGTGCCAGTCAAGCATGGGGACACATCTAATCAAAATACTCATATGCATGAAACAAAATTTTAAAATAATGATAATGATTGAAAAACCACAACTTCTGAAGACTGTAGTATGATAAATTTGTATTATGTTGAAAACAGTATCATTAATAATGCCTGCATAAATTGCTAACATTTTAGTTTTTAGAAGACAAACACACTCCAGCACAGTAGTGCATTTTTTATCCCAGTATTAGAAGGTGGAATCTCTATGAGTTCTAGGCCAGCAAGATCTATATAACAAGTACTAAGTCAGCCAAAGTTATATGGTGAACTCCCCCAGCCCCCCCCAAAAAAAGATAAATGTAAAAGACAGTATATTGATTACCTTTGCAGTGATGGGGAGAGCAAGACGGGAAGCAGATAGGCATCTCAGATGACACTGGTAGGATTTCAGCTCTTCACTGAGTCATGCTTTAACAGCACATGTTGATGTTTCATCCTCTTATATACCTTCTAACTTTCTTATATACTTTCTATGTATATAAGTATACTTTTTTATATACTTTCTATGTAGCATGGGCCAGCATGCTACATAGATATTTAGAATGTGCCAAATATTGTATAATAATAAAAAGTCCTAGTAAGCTTTAATGTCACTTCAGAATTCTGAAGACAGACTTGTAAGGAGTTCCTTGACCTAATTGTCCCTCTTTCCAGTGTTGCTATATTAAATGAATCTTGTTCTGCTTATCACTAGTAATATGGCTCTTTTAGTAGACTTATTATGTACCAGTGGCTGAACCTGGCTTAGATGACCAGCTGTGAATGCCCAAGTTCAGTAATAATATGGCAACTACAAAGGGACAAAAGATACATCTGGGAGTGTCCAGCACCCCCAGAAAGCTGACCCCAAATGGAGAGGAAAGATGAAAGATCCCAGCTATGGCTTTACTCTGAGGACATTTTCCCATCTTTCTACTTCAGTGGGCATTGGCTGCCTTTTATTTCTACTTGGTCAAGCAGAAAAATGAGTATTTGGACATTGTTTTGGATTCTCAAGAAAGTTTGAACCTTGTAGCTATGAGAAAAGTGGGAGGAGAGAGAGAAACAAAGAGATATAGAGACAGACAGACAGAGATAGAGGGAAACAGAGATAGACTGACAGAGACAGAAAGAAAGACAGGAAGGGAGGGAGGGAGGGAGGGAGGGAGGGAGGGAGGGAGGGAGAGAGAGACAGAGAGAGAGAGAGAGAGAGAGAGAGAGAGAGAGAGAGAGAGAGGGCTACAGAAGTAGAAGTACAACTTCTGACAAAGGAACCTGAACATTTTTGTGATACTAAGACATTCTTCACAGAATATGCAGAATAGACTTCACAATTCCTCCAGAGCTGCTCTGCCAGATGAACAGCCATTCATCCTTTAGGCCCAGCTCACTCCTTTCTGAAGTTCTGATCAGGGCGGCCCAGTTTGTTCCTAAGACACTCCCATGGCACCGTGTTTCTGCTCTCACAACTATATGGAGACCAGAACCCTACCAAACTAGTATAGAGATTATTTCAAAGTGAAAACATGAGCTTCCAAAGAAAGAATTGCACCTCAACTTCCCTTGTCTGCTATGAGTGAAAAGCAGAAAAGACCTTCGGCAGTGTAACCTTAAGCACCAGAACAATCGGGAAGTCTTCGGATAAATGAGTCTCATAAGAACACATGGAGTGACCCATGGCTCCAGCAGCATATGTGGCAGAGAACGGCCTTATCTGACACCAATAGGAAGGGATCCCCTTGGTCCTGTGGAGGCTCAATGACCCAGCATCGAGGAATTCCAGGGCAGGGAGGTGGGAGTGGGTGCATGGGTGAGGGAGCACCCTCATAGAAGCAGGGGGAGGGGTGGGTTCGGGGGTTTGCAGAGGGGAAACTGGGAAGGGAGATAACATTTGAAACGTAAATAATAAATAACCAATACAAAAGATTAAAAAAAAAGAAGACCTTACCTCTCTGCCTCTCCTACGGTGGGTATACAAACTTTACTACTAACCTATCTGGGGACATGTGCCTGAGCAATACAAGTTTTTTCAATAACTGCAGGTAGATCATAATTCAAGGCAGTGTACCATATAGACCATGACATGTTTCAAGGCACAGGCCAAGAAGATTTTGTACTTTTCCACCACCTGGACCCTCTTACCCCCTCCCCTTGTAAAACATGCTATAAAAAAGCATTTCATGTTCAAAAAAAAAAGAAATTAAAAAAAAAAAGAAAAAAAATTTTCTATCGAAATAAACAGTCTGGGTCAGTGAGATGGCTCAGCGGATAAAAGTGCTTGCTACCAAAACACATAACCTGAGTTCAATCCCCACAAGGTGGAAAAAGGGAAGCGACTCCTGCAAGCTATCCTCTTATTTCCATATATTCCATGGCATGCCCCCCCCACACACACACATAAATACAAATGTTAGTAAAACTAATAGAACGAATAATCTAATCAGTATTCTATCGTTCAACGGGCATTTTACATATGATGCATTTAGATAAATACTATAAATTTTAATTATACTTGAGATCTCAAATCAAAATCTCAAAGTCTCCCTGTAACATATGCAGCTTGGTTTGCAACTTGGAACTTTGGACCTTAAGAAAGCACCAGCATTTTCAGCATAACGAATATATATATATATATAGATAGATAGATAGATAGATAGATAGATAGATAGATAGATAGATTTTTTTTCCCAGAAAGTAAGAGGTGAGAGGTAGAAGTATCAAAAGTTCAAGGTCAATCCTCAACTAAATAGGTAGTTTGATGTTGGCCTGGGATCCATGAGACCTTAACACAAAGAAAAAAATAATGAGGGGCTTATTGGTCTTTGCAAGCAATTCTTAAGCTCAGTGAGATGAAATATGAGTAGAAGGATTTGAAGACTAGAGTGATATGATATAACCATAAACAGAACATTCCAGAGGAGATGAGAGCAGAAACAGAAAGGTCAGTGAGAAGGCTTTCCCTGTCATCTAGTTAGGAGACAGGTGGTCACAAGAGCAAGGATGGTGAATCTTACAAATTCTATCAAGGATGGTGAATCTTACAAATTCTATTCTGTGTTCACCAATGTAGAAATGTCATTGAAGCCACAAGATTAGATGTGATCAATAGAGGAATGAGCAAAGATGGAGAACAGGGACAAACAGAACAGGAAGTAGGACTGGGCCCTAAGGCTCAGTCATCAAGGAAATGGTAGAGAACATAAGGAAAACCAAAGAGTTTAACCGGGAGCAGTCAGCTCTCCCCACAAGACATCACACTGCCAACCTGAATTTGACATCTGTCCTTCTCATGAATGCCTTGTACTACAAATGGATATGACTGTAAACAACCTATAGGATTATTCTGTATAATTTTCAACTTTATTAATGTGGTTTCATAGTCCATATATTTTCTCAAGTTGTTGATTGGCTGTACAACTGAATTATTACGGAAATCTATGTTAATAGGTGTCATAATAGACCATCTAACTTGCACTTTTGTATCCTATTCCTTCAGACGAATTTGCCACATTCGTTTATTTCCATGCACCAGAGACATATTTCTATTTCCTTTTTCTATTTCTATTTCCCTTCCCTGCTATCATCAATACTCTACCACATGAATTCTCACATGGGCTTCTTTCTGCCTTGCTTTGTGTTCTATAGAAAAGTTTTCTCAAAGCTCAGTGTTCAGTAGAAACAATTGGAAATTGAAAGTTTTATTAAAACCAGTTTTAGAGCCCCACATCCAAAGTTTGTGTATCAGTTAGAATCTGAGAAGTTGCACTTCTAACAAGTTCCCCCATGGTGTTTTTTGTCGTTGTTGGTGATGATGATGATCCAAAGAAGACACTGTGAATCAAAACCCTGGGATAGATCAGGCATGCTGATGATGGTCACAGATACACAGGCGTGTCTCTGGCTTTTCTACACATTGTCAACTTGCCTAATTTGTTTCTACCTGTGGTATGCTCTTTAATACCAATGCTGGATGCTGTCAGATTTTTTTTAATTCTTGCCATACTGAGCGTTCACAATTTTAAGAATTAATCATAGCATTTGTTCTAGCTTTAGTCTTAATCCTCTGATAAACACCTTTACCAAAAGCAACTTTTGGGTGGGGGAATGTTTGATTTACATTTTCAAACCATAGTCCATCATTGAGGAAAGGCAAGGCAGGAACTTGAAGTTAGGTTTGTTTGACATTCCACACAGGATTACCTCTGGCAAAGGAACTCACTTCACAGCTAATGAGGTACATCAGGAACCATGGAAGATGCTGCTTGCTAGCTGACTTGAAGGCTTGAAAACTACTTTCTTGTGGTGTTTAAGACCACCCCTGCCTAGGAATGGTACTTCCCACAGCACCATTCTCTCTCTCTCTCTCTCTCTCTCTCTCTCTCTCTCTCTCTCTCTCCTTTCACTCTCTTTCATATACATATACAATTCCTCAGTGGGGGCTATCCTCTCAGATAACTCAAAGCTGTAAGTTGACATTTAAAGCAAGTCAGCATATATAAGTACACATATCCAACATACAGAAATAAACATCCTAAAGACATTACATCCTAGGATTAATCACAACACATTCAAGCTTCTTTTTTCATAAAGGTTGCCCCCAGTTAACTGTCATTTTCCTCATCAATGCTAAGATAGTGTGGAAAAGATAATCAAGATGGTTATGATAGGAAAAAAAAGTGTTTCTTTTAATTGAAAACTTCACTGTGGTTATGTTTACTATAGTTTCAATAGTCAATGGTGACATAAAATCCGTCTTATGGAATAATAAATAGAAAGGAAGTGAAAGTCCCTTACATTAAAAACACTAAAGAAATTGAAGAAAACACTAGGAGATGGAAAGATGTCAAATGATTGGAAGAATTAATATTATAAAGATGACCAATCTACCAAAAGCAAACTGTAGGATCAATGCAATCTCCCTCCACAGTCTGGTACTCACGTATCTGGTTGGTAGATGCACTGTAAAAGGCATTGACTGTTGTTGGGTTTGTAAACCACCTGCAGAAAGAGAGACAAATGCCAGAGGGTAGGCATTATTTTCCAGATTGGAAAACAGTAACCGTAAATAACACAGATACTGGGAAAAATATTGCCTCATTCACAGCTCATACTCTGTTGAATAACAGTCTTATCAGAATGTGAGCACTGTTTGGCAAGACTATAGTATCAGAGCTGGAGAGATGGCTCAGTGGTTAAACATACTGGCTGCTCTTCCAGAAGACAAAAGTTCAATTCCTGGAACATGTGTGATAGTTAGTTTAAAAAAAATCTATGACTCTAGTCCCAGGGAATTTATGGAGCACAGACATATATCCAGGCAAAACACCTATACACATAAAATAAATATAACTTAACAAAAGAATATTAGTATACCTGGCTTTTCATTAACAACAACAATAAATGAGTGTATATGGAAAAGTTTAACAAGAAGTTTTACAATCAGAGGTGCTCCCTTAGAAGATGGAAACACACCAGCAAGCTGATGTTTGCCAAGTTCTGTTCACATGACCCAGCTACCTCTCTAGCCTACATCACTCCTGACCTGTCCACGAAACCATTTTAGATTGATAATAACACAGAGATCCATTTAGAGGTAAACGAATAATATAACACCATGCTACTGGAGTGTCCAACCACTCCAGTGAAAAGTTTACTGATTTAAGTTGCAAATGCCTAAACTATCTCTATAACCAGCTGAGTTTTGTTGGATCAGTCAACAATCTTTCTGGGGTTTGGTTTTAGCTGCAAAGTGAAGGTACTGGACTGGCAGGATGGCTCAGCAGCTAAAGTGCTTGCCATGCAATTCTGGTGGCTGGAATTGAATCCCTTAGAATCCATAGCAGGAGAAAACCCACTTCTGAAAGTTGTCCTTTGACCTCTGCCTGTGCATCATAGAATGTGCACACGTGTACTTACCATTACTAATAAATTAATAATAATAATAATAATAACAATAATGAATTAAAGTGAAGGTATTGTATTAGGAGATGTTAGGATTCCTTATAGCTCTCAACAGCCTACACCCTTATATTGACTACATGGGCTACTTAATTCAGAATGTAGAGCTTGTTTACTGTAAAAAAAATTAATATAAAAACTTCAGGCTTTATGGATGAAAAAGCAAAACTGAAGATATTATACAGATATGAAAGACCAATCCACAAGTAATGATTGATGAAATTCAAATATAATAATCAATAAGTACAATTTTTATTCATGAAAATGACAATTCTTTTGAGGTGGCATATTGTTTTGATTAAATGTGATTCAACTTATGGCTTACTATCATCAGACCAATTTTAAGTTTATTTCTAAAAACCACTCTTGGTTCATGGGCTATGTGATAGACACCAGATGATATCTAGCCCAGTCACCACCTTTTATGATTAAACTCAGACAATTTCTTTTAAGCTAAATTGCTAAAAATAAACTTGTATACTACTGAGTGTTTAACTTAATGGTACAACACATGCTTAGCATTCATGAGGCTCTGGATTCAAACACCAAAATTTAAAAAAAAATTACGTGTATAAATCCCTTTTCAAAACAATCATTTTATTTCTCAATTTTATTACTCAATGTCTAATAGAAAATGTCAGAGAAATGCATTAATATATATCAGGCTAACATAAGACTGGTATAGGAAACCAACTCTTGATTGTTATTAGTCCATTCACAGCTTCTCTTGTGGAAAACCCTATGAATATGCCATCTTATCATTGTGACTATTAGCTAGCAGGCACTAAGCATTTTGCCATTTTCTATGCACTTTATCATTAGCCCACCTAGAGATGAAGAAGTCTGGCCTTTCAAATTTCAAAGTAGTTCTATTAGGCTTTGCATTATTCTAGAGACAGTTGAAGGAATCAAGAGAGTACCTTGCATTTTGTCAAATCAAGATAAGTGGTTCAATTAGACACTGTTGGTTATTTATCCAAAAGTTACCGACTGGCCTACTTTGTTCAGAAAACAAGTAAAGAAGAGAGTATTTTTTTTGTTGACCCCAACTTTCTATCTGTAGTGAGTAGAATTATTGTCACAGCCTATAATACCTGAGATCCTGCCAGTATACAGCCCAAAGAACTTTCAGGTGTAATTAAGGTTAAGAATCTGAAAAGACTAAGCTTATCCAAGATTATCCAGATAGGCTGATCTAATCACATCCACTCTTAAGAGCAGGCAACCTTTTTCAGCTAGAATCAAATAGATACAACAGAGGACTAGAGGTCAGAAAAAGATACTTGCAGATGGAAAGTCAGGAAGATTGAAAGGGTGAGAAGGAATTCACACAGTGCTACTGGCTCTTAGATGAAGAGGGCAATATTCAAAGAAGTCATCTCAGGCTTGTAACCACAGGAAATGAGTTAGACCATAATATATACGTGTGATAATTGTAATAATGCGTGTTCCTACAGACTGTCCCTTCTCTTCTCATCAGTTCTCACTCTCTAGCTGTTCATAAAAAGTAAACTTTTGTAAGTGGCAACTATACAGTAACATGTTCTAACTGCTGATAGACAAAGGCACAAAAAACAAGAGAAATGCACTGGCTGGGGGCCATTACAGAGAGACTTCTAAAGCTTCAGCAAGAATTGATAAAACATCCTACCTCACGTATATGACCTTCTTATTCCTAACCCTTATTCAACTATCAGAGATGCTATTTACTCTTGGGTCCATTTGGAGTCTTAAAAGTCTCTGGAGCTGATGCTAAGTATCTGCACCAGCAGGTCCTATCAGTCGTTGATGCTTTTGTTTCTTCTGTTTGTTTAGGAATGATGCCAATCCATCTGTGAAATATTTTGTACATCTCCTTTATTGTATCCAAGTTTATTATATATTTAGTTTTACTATTCTCTAGTGCAAACCTTCAGTATCTGTTTACAAAATAGTTTATTCTTCTCTCATTAAGATATGAAATCTAAATTCCTTTCCTCTTTATAATGGATTAATCCTGCTGACTCACTGCTAAAGAAAAAGATGAAATGGATCTGGAAAGGAGCTGGTAGAGTACTTGCCAAGCATGCAGAAAGCACTGGGTAACATCCATAACCCTGTATAGACTAACCATGATAGCATAAACTTATAATCTTAGCACTTAGAACATAGAGCCCAGGGGATAATCCTCAACTACATATCAAGTTTGATGTCAGGCTGAACTACATTGAGACCATGTCTCAAAAAAATTTAAAAGAGTAATATATTTTTTAAACAGACACTTTGGAATTTTCAAAGGCAATACACTGATGCACAAAATGACAAGTCTCTCTCCTTTCTTTCCTCTCCTCTCTCAAGAAACCTGCTATTCAACTTTGTCCATCAACCAGCATTCCTTTAAGAAGTTCCATATACTGAGGGGCCATACATAGGCGTTCTAACCAATTAGTACCAATAAGTAGGAAATTTATCAATGAGTAGGTAAAGGACAAATATAATAGAGAGGGCCCAGTCTCTATCTTACTGCAACTAAATGAAAGACTATGAGCAGTAACCCCAGAGCTAAGTCTACTGACCATGCCTAGAATCAGAATATGTACATGTTAAATGATTATCGTGGTTTTGAGCCCCTAATATGAGGGATAGTTTGATATGCAACAACAAATAGGTAGAATGTAGAAAAGTTGACTCTGTACAGGTTAAGATCTACCTAACGTTTTGGATTTTCCCAGAAAGCAGTTTTATTTACCAATATGATGGATCTTAAAAAAAATTGAATTAGAATTCCTTAAAGTCAAGCTGATAGACACTAATTCTTTTCATTGTTCACACTTGTCCAAGTGGCCCATTTTTTAATTGGTGAGGCCCTGAAGGCATTCTAGTTTGTAGCACTATACCTCCTAGAATGATTTATGAACTAAGACAATTGTCCAGATAGCGGGTTCTGATCACGAAATCTATTGTTAAATATACATCTATGTTAATAAACAAAAATACTACTCAAGTACCTTAGAGTCTTGTTACTATGTCTCCTGCAATCTGTATTTATGGAAGAAAATAATAGATCATGGGGAAAAAAGAAGTCTTATATAAACTTTAAATCTCAAAACATATGGGGCAGAGGTATAGTTAAAAGGAATGTAATACCAAAATGCAATGATCTGAAATATGCTGATACTCTGATTTACTTTTACTATCTAAAATAGATATAATCATGCTAAAACTTCACATTTTATTCATCAACTCTTAGTGGTAGTCCAGGGAATATGAAATGAAAAAACATGAATATATGATACTTTCTTACCAATATCCTGCAAATAATATTAGTCACATCCAGTGATATAAATAACGCTTTTGCAAACAAAAACTCTGAGAAAGACTATAATTTGTATACATGTTTAACGTGGTTTTGCAAATTTTTTATAAGAGTTAGAGAATAGAGCCCAGACATGTTTTGTCACAGTAGAATGAGAGTGAGTTAATAAGAAAGCTGGCTTAGAAACATTTCTGTCAAATAAGAGGATCCTGAGGGAAAGAAATTACTTTTGACTCAAGCCAAGCAGTAAAGTAAATCCACTATTTTTTAAGCAAACTGATGAAGTGACAATTCTGAGAACCAATCCCTAAATATGTACCTTCAGGGATGACCACCCAATTAATTTCATTCTTGCTGACATTTCCCATTGCCTTAGAAACTTCTTAATGCATATTAGTGCAGCTAAAATGGATTCCATGAGAAAAAAAAGATGATAAAGGGTATTTATCTCCCAGCCCCACAAAGAAGCAAAAATGTTATTCCAGGGCTTTTTGGAATGATAATCATGATGTGCTGTTCGAAGTAAACTAGTACAGAAGAGCTACTCCAGCAACCTCCTCAGCTGATTAACTAATGAATTTTCAGACCTAAAAGATGCCAATTAAAGCCCATGGGTTTCATGAAGCTAAAATTCTCTACAGTGCTTGAAATGGACCAGACAGGAATTTCCTTTAAAAGAAAATTTGAGTCATGTCACTTTGCCATGGAAATAGGACCTTAAAGTTTTTAATAGCCTTTTCTCTGA